CAGGCATTGTGTAGTGCTGCTAGTACCATAGTGCAGACATTACCTTGAAGTCTGATTGGCATTCTATGGATTTGACGCGGCGGCTGTCGCACTTGATAGAAGTCGTATGGATAAGCTGCTTCCAACATTGATGCAACTCTATCAAGTGCGACAGCCGCCGCGTCAAATCCATAGAATGCCAATCAGACTTCAAGGTAATGTCTGCACTATGGTACTAGCAGCACCACACAATGCCTGGTGTATTAGCGAACAAAAGAACCGTTTGAGATCATTTCCACGCACATTCTTCACCTCTTTGGAAATGAACTAAACAACTGAGAACAACATAAATAGAGCAACTTACGGCTTAGGAGTGGGACAGTCATCGTCGTCTGAGGTCAAGTCACCTTCACCTGTCAGAATGCCAGACTCGTGACCGAAACTGTCCCAACTGAAATCGCAATGTTTACAAAGAAGGTCAAATAAAGGATTGTGATTACAGAGTCACATGGATCTTTAGAAATAGAGCAACCTCCTGCAATTAACACTATTTGTATGAGGGTTACTCAGGACTTCGACCTAGAAAAATGGCTTCCGAAAAAGGGGCCTGGGTTGTGCCTTTGAGCATTTTCTCGCTCTTTGATCGTTTCCCATGTAGAGCATATAATTAAACAGACGAATTATCTGATTCTGTGGCTTCATTACTTCATTACTACATATTTCCCTCATTCCCATCATATACCCTTATTCTCCATTATCTTTTAAAAAATTCATCTCTCCAATACTTAGAAAAAGCAACATTAACTTGAAGCCTAGAAACTGCATCAGTTTTCAATAATGTTTGGCTTCTACTCGGAAGCACGATGTCATCACGCTCTAATAAAATCCAAAAATTCATTTAGTTTCATTTAAAAGATATAAGTAGAGTATGGCAATTACAGTACCTCTCGGTATCGATATCGCTGGCGACTGGTGGAGAACTTGAAAGGGCTGGAGGACTACCGGAAAGAAACGCTTCGACATTTTTCACACTGAGTTTGTCTGAAACATTGAATGATTGAAAACTAGGTTAACCAGATTAGTTCAAAAAGAACGGCTAACCCTACATGGGCCATCTTTACAGGCTAAAATCAACTCACTCTGAGCGATTTCTTCCAGTTCGTCTTCGTCAGATTCCGTACCCGAATCGCGTAATGCTTCCTTAAAAAGGCATATGAAAGCTCAAAAAGGATGTGGAATCAGTCACTAAAGCTGAGCTATGCTACATCAATCTCAACCGTAACCTTCTCCTGATTAGCTTCTCTTGCTAACTCTGACTAACTCTTCCATTGCAAAGTGTTACTGAGTTTCTGAGCGGTGTTGTTATCGAGCAGCAAGTCTAAGGTTGCCACACCTTTCAATAGCGTAAAAATGAGTCATTTCTGTTAGTAGAAGATACCACAAAAGTGCGACTCTCTTTATGAACAGTGAGCTCTTGCAGTATCGACCTATCCAGCTTTCTTTTGCCTCAGCAGAAGTGTTTGAAATGCTCGTTCCAAAGACTTGACTAGCTCAAACCTTTCGTCGAAAGATTTCTTACGACGAAAGATTTCTTCGAACGAAACCTTCAAGTCGTTCTCATCGGAACAAAGAGAGAGAGTACCCTACCCTATCTCGAAGATACAATCATCATAGCAACATGTTTAAATCTAGCGTTTAAAGGCAGCGTTTACGATTAAAAGTAAGCTCACTTGAGAAATAAGGGTGGAGGGGGTCACTGGAGCAGGGATGAAAAAGAAACCATTTGAAACGGCCCCTCAACACTACGCTCTCTGCGTCTGATCACTCGCCGCATATAGACCTGCGGCAAGTGATTAGATAGTCGGTGGGCGTACCCCGCCAACCGCGCCAAGAGTGAGCCATGCTAGATCGCCGAGGTCAAATCTTTCGCTGCCAATTGCGCGTCGGTCAGCACCCTCAGGAGGTCCGCCTGTCTCCCAACTATGCAATTTTCCCTTCTTGACCTTCGTTCTTATCGTGAATTCCTCGTTTAAGCCAGAAAAAAGTTTGAATCCACGTATGCAAAACTCTGGTGCATTCGTTAACAGTTCCTCGGCACCATATATCTATCTGCGGTAGTTTCGAGTTTGACCCTGTAAAAGCAAATTCTCGAAGCACTTCTTTGCGAAACCTTCAATTCAAATCAGAAGAATTCCCCTACTATACATTTTTTATCAGTTAATTCAATCAAGCAGGAAGTGAGCGCGTAAAACTAATTATCTTCCCAATGCTGCATAACTTTACAGCGTTTGAAATACAATTTGGTGCCAAAACGTGTGCAAATGGACAGCGATACAAAACTTGCATTAACTACGAACAAAATAATGGTACAAAGCTCTGAATAAAATGCAGCCGAATTCAGATAGTTTCGGAATAGTAGCAATGCAAAGACTTAGAACGCTGCACCGTGACTGCGCAATTAGCAGTACCGAATCCAGATCAGGACAATTTGGAAGAATTGTATAAATAACGGCCGCACGGAGCCATAGATTCTTCTTTTGTAGTTTTTCGTTTACCTTTTCCGCATGGAGGTGAAAGGCTAATCATTGTTGTGATGATTAACGAAGATTAAAGGACGGGCCGCTATTAAATCCTCAGAGAATTTTTTGACTTGTTTTATTGGATATCTGCCGTTTTACGCCGCAGTTCGCAATGCGAAAGTTCTGCGTCTACGAATTCCGCTACGCAAGTTTTGCCCACATGTCAGCATTCTTGTGATAACTTCAGGAACTGCTCTCCATGACTGAGGCAGCAGGACCCGTAATCACAGGGTGGTGGTAGCCGCGAATTGAAACTGTGCGACAAGGGAGATAATTGCCTTTCGCTTTACCGCTGCGATCGTTGCCATGTTTGTCAGTCGCAGCATACGTAGCGTTCGCGTTCTCTCGCTTACGAGGTGCTCTCTCGCCTTTTTCCTCTCCCCGCTGTGCTGTGTCTCTCCGTCATGTCACGCTTGATGTCACAAGAAAAGACTTCGGTGTTTCTTTACGGTGCCTGCTGCTTGTGTTTCCAAGTAATGTTCCTCATAGCATTATTGCCTCCTTTTTGACGATAGTTTTAAGATAAGTCGGCTAATTTCTGCCTTCATTCGAGACATTATGGTACTTGAACACGAATGAGTATGACTTATGAGGCCGACTGATGAACGAACAAGTGTTCTTATCCTCACACACAAGTCTCATATAAATTACTGATCCCGATTAACGCACTCGACCCGAGTGATTGATTTGACTCCTGCACAGTGCAAATGATAAGCCCCACATGCCCACATCATCATCACCGTACTTAATCAACGCCAGCCCTTAGCTTCCTTAGAAATGTTCTTCAGAGCGGATGCTCCTATTTTATTACCAAAGGTCAACCGATAATTGGTTCTTAAGGGCATGTTTTAGAATCAACAGATGCGGTTTTTGCACAAAAACTCAACAATATTGGTGCAAAATGGGTCAGAGTGGCGAAAAAAGGGAAAGAATCTGAGGAAAACCCTTAGATTAAGCCTTGCTCACCACAGTAATACGGTTTTACTAACGTAATTCAATGAGATACTGAGCGAGGAGAGGAGAGTGTGAGGCGCGGAGCGCAACAGATGAGAGGACCCTACTTTATATGGCTTTAACGTCCTCGCCGAATGATTTTCCAAGCACGGAGAAGCCACATCTGTAATTGCTCTCCGATGCTCTACACTGCAGATCAGAGGGATTCGTAAACACACGACTTCCACTTCTTGATTGTGACTTTGATTCAGCTATATATTCAACCAGAGTTCTCATGCTAGCCTTTAGTTGACAAATCGGCCGCTTACGGTGGGTGAAGATGTCTAGTTGAAAGGAAACTACAGGGTGGCTACTAAATATTGGCGCATGGTTAATTGACCATATTTCCAAAAAGAGAATCTATTAAATCTTCAGAGGTTTATCTTTATATACAGTAGAACATAACAATTCATTACTAGAGAAGATGCTCGGAAAGAAGTCCTCCGGCGGCGATACAGGCTTCAAGTCTCTTCTCAACTGACATCACCGTGGGCCGCAAGCAGTTTTCGTCGAGTTACTTCAACGCTTCCTCCTAGGAAGCCTTCAGGAAGTCCAAACTTCGATGTTGCCTAGAAGGCATCTTCTGCTGCAGGAAGCCCCACACCGCAAAATCCATTGGGTTCAATCGGGTGAGTTAGATGGCCAAACATCTGGTGACCAGTAACCTGGAAAATGGCGGTCACAGAACACCAGCGTAGATTTTTGCGGCATGGGGAGGCGCCTAGTCTTGCTGAAGAAGGCACTGACATTTGCTGGAGGTCGAAACAGTCCATGGAAGGAGCACATCACGTAAAATTGTTTCCTGGTAGATCTGGGCGTTAATTTTGACGGATTTGTCCACAAAGACAAACGGTGTCTCGGTGTCGGAAGTAATTCCTGCCTAAATCATGACAGATTTTGGAAATCGGCTCCTTGTGTGCGCACGACGTCGAGCAGGATGCCTGCTAGCCGGATCCAACAATTGCCTGTCCTTTTGAGAATTGTGCGCCAATTCCAGTGTGATGATCTTCTCGCGTCACGTTGACGTCACTTACTTGCGGCCCACGGTGATGTCAGTTGAGAAGAGACTTGAAGCCTGTATCACTGCCGAGGGAGGCCATTTCGAGCACCTTCTTCAGTGATGCATGGATATGTTTTACTGTATATAAAAATAAACTTCTGAATATGTAATAGTTTCTCTTTGCAAAAATATGGTCAATAAACCATGCGCCAATATTTAGTAGCCCACCCTGTACAGTTTCAAGCATGCGATAGGCAAAAAATCTAGAAACAAAAAGGAGTGCCTAAATAGGTCTTTTCCACACTTGGCTTCACCTCTGAAGTCCATCCCACCTCCACACACCGGTCGCAGCCGCTGTTCTTTATACAATGCAGCCCTTTACGATGCCAGCTACCGCGAAGTTTGTTCAGCACCCTAGCCAAATACGATGGTGGCAATCCTGCTTCCTCATAGGCGTTCCCTTGCTTTCTTATTCACTGCCGCACTACTTAGCAATTTTTAATGCATTCGAACGCAGACCAAATTGACGCAGTCATTACCCTCAAAGCGAGCAAGTGCGCGAGAAAGTCAAACTTTATTGAGCAAATTGTCTCCGATAATCTATAAGTATGGTAATTGTGGTAGCAAATAAACGGGTTTTCAGAGCGAGAAACTCGTCCTCTCAAGAGTACTTACAGTAGAGGTGAGAGGTGAGGGATTTTCGTCATTCTGTAGACCGAATATACGCCACATTACGCAAAGGAATGGTTTTTCATCTAAATGTCAGCTGACACTAACCATAAGAAGCGACCTCACTTTCACCGAAGTGCTTATATTCTACAATTAATTAAAACACTAAGGTGAAAATTATTTGAAGATCCTAACTTGAAGGCACGGCCCAGAATCTGCGGACAGTCAAGAAAAGACAACGAGGTAAGAGATAATGGCAGACGAGGGGAGGGAAAAGAGTTTGAGAAGCAGGAGCATAGCAGATCAGTAGTAGGACGAAGATAGGATACCGACCCGTTGCTTGTGCTCGATCCATGACGTTGATGAAGAACCAAACCCTAAGCCCGTCCTAATGAGGAGTTTCGAAGCGCAAAAGCGGTCCGATCTCTGCAGTTGTCGACCGAGCACCTGCTTACACGGGAAGTACTTCTCTTTCCAGTTGCGCTGATCACTGATCGTCCCTTCATCTGGAACTGTCCACGATCTTACCGAAAAGAGCTTTTTGTGGCTAAGCTCCGACCGCTAGTCATGGATGCGGAACCCAAAATAGCGTGGAACCTCCATACTTATGAGCCAGCAGGTCCACACTACGGCGTGCACCGAGTTCTGAGCTAGCTTACTTGGCCTACAATAGCATCTACGCCCCAAATCAATTACCTGATCGGATGTTACGCCGATACGAGTATGCTACTTCAGGGTCTGCGAGGGGGACAAATCACAATCGATTAATTCACTTCTTCGTTTGGAATTTGAAGATATTAAAGAAAGTAGTCAATTTTTTGAGGAAAAAAATAAAAAGGTTTAGAAAAGAGGAAGGAGAGCACTTAGGGACCACTCATCTAGCATGTTTCCTCACAACATTCATACGTCGATGAAAGCGGATTTGAAGGCATGACGCCGCGATCTGGATCTTCCGACAC